TGATTTATGTCTGGCTTTGCATCTTTTGTCTTAATTCTGACCAAACAAATTTATTTTTGTGGCTTCCCATTCATAAACAAACCCTAAAAAAACACATAATTTTTGAATTGTTTGAAGTACACAGCACTTGTCTCACTTTGACATGGTGAAAGCAGTGAAACATGAGGTATTTTATTTAAAACTGGCATTTTGTTGATAATTTTACTAAAGGAACTGGATAATATAGAATTGTAAATGAACATTTGGTAATCTCAAATATTTAATAAAACCCCTACATACCTAAATGTGTGTTCAGACTCAGAGCAACCAAAATACTTTTATAGTTGAACAAATTGTTCAATCACATTTAAACAGAATTATTTAACTGTAATGTTAATATTAACCAAAGTGTGTAAACAGCGTCATCTCATATAAATTAAAACCCTTCTTATAGTTTTTCTGTTTGAACATGCTGTTATGAAACATTGTTGCAGCTTTCCCTGACATCTTTTTCAAGTTTATATCACACAATGTCAGGAAATGTAACAAAATGCAGTCTTTATGGAGCGTTAAATATGCTCAAAGGGATCCTGCTGCTGAGGAAGATTGACAGGTTTCAGGAATGAGCTGAAGGGAACCTCTCGCCCTGAGTGTGTGTGTAATGTGAGACAGGTCTTCTGATGAGCACTAATCAGCTGAGACTCTTGACCCCGTGGCGGTAAAGCTGCCGCCAGGGAATGTGCTAACAATTCCACCTGTGTGTGTCTGTGCGCGTTCACATGGGCCATTTCTGTTAGAAGGAACACCRTCACCTTAAAATCAGTTTGACTTAAATGTACAGCGGGTAAAATAAGTATTGAACACGTCAMCATTTYTCTYAGTWAATATATTACTAGAGGTGCTAATGACATGAAATTTTCACCAGATGTCGGTAACAACCCAAGTGATCCATACATACAAAGAAATCAAACCATAAATGTCCAGAAATGAAGTTATTTGTAATAATGTGGAATGGCACAGGGAAAAAGTATTGAACACATGAAGAAAGGGAGGTGTAAAAAGGCATAGAAAGCCAAGACACCAGCTGAACTCTCTCAGTAATTAGAAAGCAAGCCTGCCCCTTGTCAGTGCAAGTTAATATCAGCTGGTTCAGTCCCAAATGATGGCCAGGTATCACACAAGAACCATCTGATGATGGGTAAAAGTAAAGAGCTCTCTCAAGACCTTCACAACCTTATTGTTGCAAAGCATGATGGCATCGGTTACAGAAGAATGTCTAAACTTCTGAAGGTTCCAGTGAGCACTGTTGGGGCCATAATTCAGAAGTGGAAAGAACATTATTTCACCATAAACCGACCACGACCAGGTGCTCCTCACAAGATTTCTGACAGAGGAGTGAAAAGAATTATCAGAAGAGTTGTCCAAGAGCCAAGGACCACTTGTGGAGAGCTTCAGAAAGACCTGGAATTAGCAGGTACGTTTGTTTCAAAGAAAACAATAAGTAATGCACTGAACCACCATGGCCTGTATGCACGCTCACCACGCAAGACTCCACTGCTGAAGAAACAGCATGTTGAAGCTCCTTTAAATTTGCTGCACAACATTTAAACAAGCCTGTGTAATACTGGGAGAAAATAGTCTGGTCAGATGAGACCAACATTGAACTGTTTTGATGCCAGAATACACATCATGTTTGGAGGTCAAATGGCACTGCACATCAGCCCAAAAACACCATACCAACAGTGAAGTTTGGAGGTGGGAACATCATGGTGTGGGGCTGTTTTTCAGCATATGGTACTGGCAAACTTCAAATAATTGAAGGAAGGATGARTGGAAAAATGTACAGAGACATTCTTGATAAAAATCTGCTTCCATCTACCAGGATGATGAAGATGAAACGTGGCTGGACATTTCAGCAAGACAATGAGCCCAAACACAAAGCCAAGGAAACTCTCAGTTGGTTTCAGAGAAAGAAACTAAAGCTGCTGGAATGGCCCAGCCAATCACCTGACCTGAATCCAACAGAAAATCTATGGAAAGAACTAAAGATCAGAGTTCATAGAAGAGGTCCACGAAACCTTCAAGATTTGAAGACTGTTTGTGTGGAAGAATGGGCCAAAATCACACCTGAGCAATGCATGCCACTAGTTTCTCCATACAGGAGGCGTCTTGAAGCTGTCATTGACAACAAAGACTTTTGTACAAAGTATTAGATAAATTTCAGTAAGTGTGTTCAATACTTTTTCCCTGTGCCATTCCACATTATTACAAATAACTTCATTTCTGGACATTTAAGGTTTGATTTCTTTGTATGTATGGATCACTTGGGTTGTTACCGACATCTGGTGAAAATTTCATGTCATTAGCACCTCTAGTAATATATTTACTGAGAAAAATGGTGACGTGTTCAATACTTATTTTACCCGCTGTAAATGACAGTGAAAGTGAGGAAAAACATAAAATTAATACAATTCGACGTTCACTTTGAGAATCTTTTTATAATCTCTTCTAAGTTCTTCTTAATATGTCATTCAAAATATATTTTACTTAAATACACTCAAACATCCAAAATATGTGTTGTATTGTATTAACACTCCAGTTGTCCTTCAGTCAAATTGACTCAGAACGTCTCATTTGCAGCCTTATTGGTCATTTTGACCTAAGGGCAGCAGGAGGGTTACAGTACCATGAGTTTGGATTTTTTGTTTATTTTTTATTCTTGGGTGGWCGTATGTAAATTAGACACATAAAAAGTTATGGATTTGTTGAATAAAAGATGACACATTAGAATTTTCTACAGACGATTGGGTTTTCTATTGATTTAATTTGAAGCACAGATATCAGCAGTTATGGCTCCTCCTAACTTGTGACAATTCCAGTTTAAACCTTTCAGAATAAAAACATTTCCTTGATTGAGTTTGTTTCTTTATAAATGCCATTTAAGTTTAGTCAAACTACAAATAGCAAATACTTTTTCTACCATATTTTATATTTTCGTCAGTTTTAATTATTATGAATACTGTAAATGTTTATTACTATTTTTTGACGCTCTTAGTTTGAAGTTTAGCTATTAAAGATGCCACACACTACGTAGTGCCTGACACATCCAGCACTGTTTTTTAGAAGGGAACAATTTAACAATTTATTTGTGGATAAATTGCATAAAAATAGAAGTTTAACATTTGTGAATTTTTTTTAGTGGACTTAAAAAGCAGCAGAACGTAATTTAGCAGAAGCTAATCAGTGCACTAACGATTTCCAAAGTTTGCAAAAAAAAAAAGAGATACAAATCTGCTAAATGAGAGGCTTGTTGTGCTGTTATTGGATTATCAGAACTGTGCTCATCACTGCTGATCACCTTCTCAACTAAGGTCCTTCTGCCTGATTGATGAACTCTACTCAGAGCTCCGCCCCTCTCTACAGCTGAGCTCGGCCACCTTACGAAGGAAGATCATTTCAGCAGCTCATATCCTGCATCTTGTTCTTTCAGTCATGACTCACACCTCACATACAGCAGGTAAAATAAGTATTGAACACGTCAACATTTTTCTTAGTAAATATATTACTAGAGGTGCTAATGACATGAAATTTTCACCAGATGTTGGTAACAACCCAAGTGATCCATACATACAAAGAAATCAAACCATAAATGTCCAGAAATGAAGTTATTTGTAATAATGTGGAATGGCACAGGGAAAAAGTATTGAACACACTTACTGAAATTTATCTAATACTTTGTACAAAAGCCTTTGTTGTCAATGACAGCTTCAAGACGCCACCTGTATGGAGAAACTAGTGGCATGCATTGCTCAGGTGTGATTTTGGCCCATTCTTCCACACAAACAGTCTTCAAATCTTGAAGGTTTCGTGGACCTCTTCTATGAACTCTGATCTTTAGTTCTTTCCATAGATTTTCTGTTGGATTCAGGTCAGGTGATTGGCTGGGCCATTCCAGCAGCTTTAGTTTCTTTCTCTGAAACCAACTGAGAGTTTCCTTGACTTTGTGTTTGGGCTCATTGTCTTGCTGAAATGTCCAGCCACGTTTCATCTTCATCATCCTGGTAGATGGAAGCAGATTTTTATCAAGAATGTATCTGTACATTTTTCCACTCATCCTTCCTTCAATTATTTGAAGTTTGCCAGTACCATATGCTGAAAAACAGCCCCACACCATGATGTTCCCACCTCCAAACTTCACTGTTGGTATGGTGTTTTTGGGCTGATGTGCAGTGCCATTTGACCTCCAAACATGATGTGTATTCTGGCATCCAAACAGTTCAATGTTGGTCTCATCTGACCAGACTATATTCTCCCAGTATTACACAGCTGATATTAACTTGCACTGACAAGGGGCAGGCTTGCTTTCTAATTACTGAGAGAGTTCAGCTGGTGTCTTGGCTTTCCGTGCCTTTTTACACCTCCCTTTCTTCATGTGTTCAATACTTTTTCCCTGTGCCATTCCACATTATTACAAATAACTTCATTTCTGGACATTTATGGTTTGATTTCTTTGTATGTATGGATCACTTGGGTTGTTACCRACATCTGGTGAAAATTTCATGTCATTAGCACCTCTAGTAATATATTTACTAAGAAAAATGTTGACGTGTTCAATACTTATTTTACCCGCTGTAGGTGAAGTTTGGAACATAGACAGACCTGTACATCGAGAGCTTTTCGTTTCGACTCCGCTTTCTTCACTACAACCGACCAAAGCAACACCCTCATTACTGAGGATGAGGCCCGTYCGTTGATCTATCTCCTGCTCCGTCCTACCATCACTTGTGGACAAGACAACCGGATACCTAAACTCCTCCACTTGATTCTGTTTTTTTTCTCTTTAATAAGCAAAAATGATAAAAATTTAAAAATAAAGTAGTAGAGGACAGGACCAACAACCAACTGCTGAACTTCCCAGTCTGTCACCTCATATTATGGGTGCGATGAGCAACAGCCGGTGTGGCTGCAGCTTTCATGTTCTAGGCTGATACCAAAGCCAACACACAAGAAAACATCACTGCTTCTCATCCAGGTATGTTTTATTGTTTCCCAAAGTGCACTGAAACAACAACACAAAGGCCAGACAGGAGAAGGTATTACACACATGAAAAKTGTTCAACAGTAATGTTTGTCTAATAAAATAAAAAGGTGAAACAAAGCTAGTTGTTTACATTGTTTTAGTTATCACATTTGATAAAAATAACTACATCCTGTCTGTTTATGCGCCTGCATTTCTCAGAATCCTTCCATAATGATGCAAGAAATGATACATGGCGATGACTGCAACCATAMAACTGTAAACCAGTCACAGTAGATATAAAATCAACACAAATGTCTGCGTGGCAACTACAATAAAAAAAAAAGAAAAAGACTGATTGGGCCGTAGTGATTGACAAGTCAAAAAACACCTGGTTGTACATTTTTACTCAACACCACATCCTTAAAGATATATTTACAAGGTGTAATTTATTGTTCAACAACATAAATCACTATCCTACGCGCACAAAAAGCAGGGTTGTACAGGGCAGGGAATTTTCTCAAATCATTCATAAAAATATCAAACTGTGAAAGGGCCGTTTACAAACATGTAATCATAGCCTCCTGCTTTATTCCTCTCTTTTTTTTAATAAATAAAATACAACCACAGTTTATACAAAGTGCTTAAACTGTCTTTTCACCTGAGCCTTTCCCTGCTTTAACATAATAAATAATCTCACAACGACTCAGTTCAACAACCACCTCTTATTTTTATATATTTTGTTCAGTTTCATTGCATAGTGTCTGGTTATGTTGCAGTTCGTAGGCTGGTTTGGAACAAAAAGAATGTGAGAAATTAAATCTAAGCTCATCAAAGCAAGTTTTATGTTAGTTATCAGTATTACTGACGTGAGTCTCAGAGGAAAACAAGCTAGGAGTATTGCAGCGGGATCTTAACGAAGGATGATTTAGGCCTGTCAGTGGATACTTTACAGTACCTGATTAATGAAGTGAAGRCATGAGGATGCAGAGGGGGTCGCCTGGCTATCCCTCATCTCCTTTTAGCTCACAGTTAATAAATGAGTGCAAACGCAACAATGCTGTAGTAGGTCATTGCTCACACACTGCGCCACACGTGTCAAGTGTTAAACATGGTATAAAATCTAAAACATGAACCGAATGGAGGGAAAAAACAGTGAAAATGCATATTTTACTTTTACTGTACATGCATTTGAATGTCCAGCTGGAGGGGATGCTCATCCAGTTTCCTAGTGTGCAACTCTGGTTTTCACAGTTTCACGATGTGCGTGGCATCTATTTGGGTCATTCCACTTTTGTAAAGAAGGGGTGGGATTTAATATCATCGACCCCACCTGCGCCCGCCCCCAGACGCTCCGTTGGGTTGTACTGGAGGAGCTGAACAGAAGAGAGAGATAAAAACAGGTGAACAGAGTGGAAAAACACAGTGATGAGGAACACAAAATAAAAAATGGTAGGTTTACATGAAGGTAAACTACGGAGCACGCAAGGGAACGTGGGGCTTTTTTTTTCTTTTGCGTTCCCACGCCATACTATTGCATTGCTTTGCAATACCTTTTGCGTTTCTTCATAAAAGTCGTTTATCACTGTTGTGCCTGCCGGTTTATTAAAAATTCACCTGCTCACAATTAGCGAGTTAGCCTGCTGCTTTAGTTCAGCTTCAGAATGAATATATCACACATGGAAGTATGTCATATGCCGATATTTTAACACAGTGCAGCTACGCAACATCAATGTCAATTTCACGAACTTGTGGCGACACATCCTGTTTTGGTAACTGGATATTTCAAAATAAAGTCTGATTTAATTCAGTTCATATACAAAACAAACTTTTGCGTGGGAATGCAAAACAATATTGCGAGGTAACGCAAAAAAAAAAAAAAATTAAATAAAATCCCCCATGTCCCCTCGCGGGCTCCGTACTAAACTGAAGCCATAAAGTTTGCTAAAAGAGAAAATTGAAACTGGAAGAAAAATTTTTGGAACTGAATAAAATGATTTGAAACTTAAAAAAATGTAAAAACTGCACGTATCATATAATTAAATATGTAACTATAATAAAAAGAATGACGTATGGTAGGAAGTTTATCATATAATAAAAAAGACGGCATTGTATCATATTTAACATTTAAGTATGGCAGGCCATTGTGTCACATAGTTTAAAATATGGCACGTTGTTGTATAATATAATTAACAACGTATGGCAGGTTGTTGTATAAAATAAAAAATATATATCAGGCCATTGTATTATATAATTAATAATGTATGGCTGGCCTTTGTGTCATAATTTAGAAAAATGGTAGGTCATTGTATCATATGATAAAGTAAGTATGGCAGGCTGTTAYATCATATAATCAAACAAATATGGCAAGCTGCTGCATCATATAAATTTATGGCAGACTGTATATTTTTTTTCAGTTTTAAATCATTTTTGTTTTGTTTTTAAATTGTTTTTCAGATTCAAATCTTGTTTTGGTTTCATTTTTTAAGTTTTGAAACCATTTGTTTTCAATTTATTTGTTTTTCTTTATTTGAACAAACTTTATGGCCTCAATTTAGCTCCATATTTTTAAGTTATACGTTCAATTCTACACCTGATTAGCATACATACACATAATTTACATCAGACTTGTACATAAAGCAGAGAATAAAAACAGATAAATGAACATCTAAAGACGAGCAGTTTTGAGGATTTGCAGTTAGTTTTAAGACATCAAAATGATGGAACCACCACTGTTATTAAGGACAAGTCCATTGGGACAAGTTCTCTCTATTTATCTGCCTTAATCTGTCTGAAAAAATTCACACATTCCGATGTAAGGCATGGCTTTTATTCTGAAAGCACATTTAGATATCTGATGACTGTTTTATAAAGTTTTACTACATTTAAAGCAGATTTTTCATATTTGTTGAGAAACCTCTACAGGTTGTAAAAATGCAGCATTTCAAAGTATCAGTGCTACAGCAGAACGTTTTACTGGGAACTTGCTGACATAAAAAAAGAAAAGATGAAAAAATGAAAAATTCATTGAATTTAAAATAGTAAATAAGACTTAATATTTTTTTAAGTTTTTTCTAATTTCTATTTGATTTCCTCTTGATTATCCACAAACCAAAACAACCAAATCTTAGGACAAAGCAGAAATTAGCTGCTAGATGATGTAGATTGTTTTATATCTATATACCAACAAAACAATCATTTATTATCAGTGTATAATATTTGATATTGCAAAGAAATAACACAAAGTCTTCAAAAACACCAATTAAGTAGATAAATTAAAAAAGCAGTTAAAACGTTTTAAAATGTATAACTAAAACTCCTGCTGGCTTTTAAAAAGTCTAAAATGGTTTAACTGGACGGAGATGGATCAGTACAGATGGCAGTAAAATGTTAATTTAGCAAAATTTACAAATGTTTAAAATAAATGATTACATAATTAAGGTACTGGGTGCCTAATCCTGACAAAYGTTTGAATAAACTATATCCAAATAAATCCATGTTTATTAAATATGTTTTTTCACCATTTCTAAGCCACATTTTAGAAGTATTAAACTCACCGCAGCAGACATAACTGTACAGTGACTTCATTATATTAAAAGTTCCTCTGTGACTTGAACACTGGACTTTATTGATCATAAAAAAAGTAATAAAATTGAAACATATCAGATCTGAGGACGTGTGTGGCCTCTCACCTGCTCCAGCAGAGACCGGGCCTCCTCTGAAACCGACTCTGGGATGTTGAGGGCCGTGTGTCGGCCGATCCCAGCTGGATGGCAGCGGGCTAGAGACTGGTGCAGAGGGAAGGAGGGGTGGAAAGAAAAGGAGGGGGGAGATAACCATCGATGTTAAACATGGAATACTGGGACTCCTGCAGAGCTCGAGTCGACGCTGAAGCTTCAAAACTGAACAAAAATAGGAGGAGGCCAAAGTGCGGGCGCACCTGAAACAACACTGATCACACAAACAAAGTAATGATGTCACCGCTGTTGCTCTTTCTTGGAACTGATGTGGGAGTCAGACAGAGTGAAAAAAAAAAAAAAACATGACTGTTTTTGGTAGAATCGGTCTTCGTTTGTACAGAACGTTTCGCAAAATAAAGCCTGACCATAATAAAGCACAAGTTTAGAACACTTATCATTGAAAAATAGGAGGCACAAGAACTTAAAGCGCTTTCGAAACCCCAAAGTATGGAGCTTTTTCGGAATAATAACAATAATTACTAAATGTTCACATGCTGTACCTTCCACAATAAAATAATAAAACGGGAACACAGAGTTTGCGCGGCAAGTAAAAGCCATAAAAACCGTGTTTTTCTTTCTTTCTCCACCAGCTAGGGCTGCTGCCTCTCTCCCTCCCTCGATACGTGCTGCAGGAGTTCTGGCTGCGATCCTGGCAGCAGTTAGGACCGCTCCAGGCAAGATCTTATCCTGCAAGGATCAAGAGACACTATGTGTGCCTGTGTGTGTATTCTTGCCAGGGCCGTACAAAGACATAATCATCAAAGGAGACATCTGTGTGGATGAGTTTTCTTTCTCTCTCCCCCTCCCCACACCCAGGTAAGTAGGTGTGTATTGTTAAACATAATGACACTAACCCAACACTGATGGCTGATATAAAAACATGCCCACTGGCAATCTGAATTTATTCAAATTTAGGAGACAATGAAAAATTGATGGGACACTGCACCTGCACATGACTGCGCTTGTTACAGTCTGTAATTGTCCTTCAAGAGAGCCGCAAGTTATAATTAGAGTGTGCGTCTATGTGTTTGTTGTCCACAAAACGAAAGAAAGAAAGAAAGAAAGGAGCTACACTCCCTCCCTCCCTAAGCCTGTCTTGAAAGATGGTCCCTCTGATCCTGGACCAGCCAGGCTGCTCAGGTCTCCACCTTGCGTGCTGATCTGAACGCAGCGAGCCCGGCGATGCTCCAGGAGCCAGTAAAGAGGCCCGGGGAGAGCTGACCCGGTGGCCCGGCAGATGGAGAAAGTCACACCGACACCTTTGCCACTCCCCGAGAACCTTGCACACAAACAAACCAACAAAACAAGCTCCACCCACTCAGACACACGAGCAGGCGCAGCCATAAAAAGTGTGAGTTTAAAGCTAAGACACCTAAAGACACACATCTGGAGGCAGACATCCCCACTCAGGAACAAAGACAAAAAAAAAATAAAGAGAAACATTTTCACTTTTTTGACTCACCGTGCCGGTCAGGAGCTCAAACAGGATGGCGCCCAAACTCCACCAATCGCATGACGTCGTCTCCTCGCTGATCCCTCCCACCTCTGGAGACAAGAAGAAAAAGAAGATGATCAATACTGAGCTGAGAAACTGTGAGCGGGAGAAACAACAGGCGAGACGAATCCACCGGAGAGGCCGGAAAATAAATGAAACCGTTTTCCTGATCTTAGACGTTATTAGTTATTCCTTCGTGTCGAACGCTGCTTCCTRTCATCTCCTTGTAATATTTCGCCAGTTTTATCCAATTAATTCAAAGCGAGCCCAGAATCATCGACACGGTCRCACACACGCGCACCAAGTGTGTGTCTCATAAAAGGGCGATTTGCATAATAAAAAGCAGTTAAATTGAGGAAACCGTCTGTGCTGCAACTTCACACCATCTGCATGACCTGACCTCAAACACACACACAGACACACACACACACACTCCTACAACACACACACACCAAGACATGGAGAATGGGAAACCTTGGTAACAGATAGTCAAACACTGTGTTATGTGTATTGATTAATTACATTGTTTTCCATCTTTTGCATTAAATCGCTGTATTTAGTATATTTTATTTGTTAGGAATAAGTCAAAATAAAATAATTCAGTGACCCTGCAAGGTTGTGTATCAGATTGTGGACTTGTCTTTCGTAAAGGCCCTGTCACACTACACAACTTATGCCAACTTATGAACATTTTAAAGACATCTACATGGAAAATGGAACTGAAAATAAATCAACAGGAAGCTTCTTTTTGGCGTGCACATAATCTAATTCTAACAAATTTATCAAACATATAACTTTTATTAGCAATTTAGACATAAAAAACATTTCATAAGTTGGCATAAGTTGTGTAGTGTGACAGGGCCTTTAAGCAAAAGTAAGTAAAGCAAAACAAAGTAAGCCTGTCTTACTTATTTTTTCTCCAACCCCTGGTTACCCTCATATGCAGAACATCCCTGTTTGTTTACGCAGGTCTTAAAGGGATCCCCGATTAGTTGTAACATCAGACTTTATTTAATAAACATTTATTTTAACTATAAAATAAAGACTGTAAAAATATTGTAGTCTGTTTAGTTTTTATTATTTTTAAACTAAAAG